TCTCCGTCACTATAATTACATGGGGATATCTCAATAAAACTACAGATCCTGTGAGGTAGGTGGTCCAACTGAAAGTACCTGGCCCTATCCTCAAAACAATTCATCAACTTACTTAGCCCATTCTACGTTCAAGATGAGATGATCATAACCAAATCCTTGAACGCTCTGAATGGCTCGTGCAGCATCTTCACGATGAACAAAGTTGATAAATGCAAATCCCTGTGGATGAAAGAGATATTCAAATTAAAGTCTAACCACCCTATGATCACTTTAATTACTTAGGAAAATGTCTTGCATAAGATCTTATGATAGGTTAAAATACTTAAGACCTTGTAATAGGTCAAGATACTTAAGTCTGTGTGCCATGAAACACCTCGGAGCATTGTCACAGGTACTGCCCTCCCAATTAGGTACATTAACACAAACGCTTAGAGCTTATGAAACCGTAATGAAGATCTGTAGCTATATGCTATCTGTAGTCCTTTGTGGTATTTTGTCAGATTAATGTATAGGCAAACGTCATTGTTTCTTTTGTTCTTAAGTAAAAGGCACATTAAGAGCACTTTCATATCACATCACATCATGGTTAGTGTTCTCATACAATGAAATTTCCTTCCTTGGTAAGTAATTTCCTATCAAATCCCTATAGTTTGGTAAAGCACCGATATAGCGGAAACAGGTCGTTTCGCCCCAACTCCGTTTCGCCCCAACTCCGTTTCGCCCCAACTCAAAGTCGTTTCGGCTCAAATCAAAGTCGATTCGCCCGAAGTTTTATTAACGCAAATTATGGAGTAGTTGGCGCCCAAATCTGTTTCATTTTCTATATTTCCTTCCTCAATATACCTCTCGAGGTGGCAGCCGGTCGTTTCGCCAACATATCACTGCGCAAACGCTCGGTTAAAAATGCAGCCTTTTATTCTGGTTGCCAAAAAGGCAAAAGAACAATCACCTTTGACTGGTTGGTGTGCTTATCTTTGGCCAGGAAGATCCTGGAAATTGGTCCAAAAGGACGGAAGAGTTCCTGTAGGTCAGCTTCCCTGGTATCTTCTGACAAGTTAGTCACTCTTATTGTGGCTGATTCGTCTAATAAGAGACATATGAAAACAATAAATTTCAGCATCTACCTCTCATGCATCNCTGGTGACGTCATCACTAGTGTTACTAATCATGAAAAAGTTAAAACACATGAAATAACTCTGAACTAGCTAAAAATGATGAGGTTATATGAGAATAAATTTTCCTTAGCAACGGCTCGAAAAGATCGGTTAATGGACCCTTAAAGCTTATGAAACCGTAATGAAGATCTGCAGCTATATGCTATCTATAGTCCTTCGTGGTATTTTGTCAGATTAATGTATAGGCAAACGTCATTGTTTCTTTTGTTCTGAGGTAAAAGGCACATTAAGAACACTTTCATATCACATCATGGTTAGTGTTCTCATACAACACGGAAATTTCCTTCCTTTGTAAGTAATTCCCTATCAAATCCCTAGAGTTTGGTAAAGCACCGATATAGCGGAAACAGGTTGTTTCACCTCAAGTCCGTTTCGCCCCAACTCAAAGTCGTTTCGCCTCAAATCAAAGTCGATTCGCCCGTAGTTTTATTAACGCAAATCATGGAGTAGTTGGCGCCCAAATATGTTTCATTTTCTATATTTCCTTCCTCGATATACCTGTCGAGGTGGCAGCCGGTCGTTTCGCCAACGTATCACTGCGCAAACGCTCCGTTAAGAAAGCAGCCTTTCATTCTGGTTACCAAAAAGACAAAAGAACAATTACCTTTGACTGGTTGGTGTGCTTATCTTTGGCCAGGAAGATCCTGGAAATTGGTCCAAACGGACGGAACAGTTCCTGTAGGTCAGCTTCCCTGGTATCTTCTGACAAGTTAGTCACTCTTATTGTGGCTGATTCGTCTAATAAGAGACATATGAAAACAATAAATTTCAGCATCTACCTCTCATGCATCAAAAATTGAAATCACAATAATGTATTAATCACAGGCACGTTTGTCATTTTGTATTCGCTGAAGAAAACCTAACCTTTTTTTCTAACTTTAAAGTAAAGTGGAACAAGAATGATACAGACACCAAAGGGACATGCCAGAGGGTCAGCATTTACCAAGTGTCTATGAAGGAGACCATCAGAATAGGCAACTCGCACATATATTTTATTGATACAAAGACTAAAGCATAGTTACCTAACAGAATAATGTCTCCAATACATTAAAGTTAGTTTCAAACTGGAGAAATCTTACGCCCATTCAAAATGTTAAAGGCTTCATGTTAAGAGGTCAAACTTGAAGGAAGACTAGTGCCAAATATCTCATACTATTACAGTGTATATTAAAAAAAAATAACCCATAGAAAGCTCTCATGTTACAACAAGGAACAATAATTATTATGTGTAGAACATAGGCTGTAGTTGTGAAAAATAATAATAAAAAAAATTATATAAAGTACACACACAACCAGCGTCCATAAGGCAAGGTTTAGTTTGTACATGTATAAGAACATCTCAATCGTGTCACAGAAAGTACACATTAAGCAGGCTAATGCTTAAAGCAGGTTTTATTCAGGCTAATGTAAGAGGAAAAATGAAACTGTCTGTTATAAGCCTTAGCGGGTCTTCAAATGAAGTGGGCGTCTAAAGAGCAGAGTTTCATCAGCTTGAAACTCAGTTACATTGCTGTGGGTACATACCCCTCTGTGACCTGGGCATGGCCTCCCCACGTCTGTTGGCTGCTCCTTCTCTCAGTCCTGGAGCAATGTACTTTCCAGTCTTGGATGCTGCAGGCTGATCTCCAGCTCCTGTTGTTCCTGCTGTTCCCGCTGCCATCATGAAATTACAACACCTCCATTTAAAACACTCCAAAAGTACAAACATTAAAGCCTGGACTTGTTGGGTATCTTATGGCTTATGTGTACATACATGTACATCTTACAGGTGCAATGGAATAACAATGGAATAAAAGGCCTCATGGTAGTGGTAGGGATGGAAGAGTTAGGAGGAGACCCACCAAGTGGCTGTCCACTGGAGCAAATTGCACAGAATCTGAAGCAGTGTTTGCCACCTCAGCATTGATAGGATAGATGATGATAATGATGATGATGTTTGTGAAGTAATGATTGTACTAATGTTTGTGTGGGTCCTGTGGTATTACCTGTAATGCAATGATTCAACCAATTCTGGTGTGGTATTTCAGTGATGATTGGAACAATGTTGGCGCAGGCCTTGTGGTGCTTGAGACATGACTGAACCAATGTGACATTATAGTACATGTATGTTAAACACATCAAGTTTACAGATTGTACATGTCAATCAAGCAGTAAGCTAGACATTACCAGCACCAGTGGCAGGTTTAGCTTCTTCCTCTTTGACTTGTGCCTGTATAACCTCCAGTCGATCCTTGTAAGGACACTTAGTTGTCCAATGGTCTCCTTTACAGATACGACACTGCACAATCTTCTGAGTACTTTGACCCAGCTTCTTCAGTGGGTCATCCATATCTTGTTGTAGGTCCTTGAAAAAAAATCCAACAGCACTGAACATCTGCATATTACCTTTGCATTAGATTATTATATCAAATGTACTGTCAGGTGAGCAGGTCTAAAGAATAAGCATTAACTACAGTTGACACTAATTGTTCTAATATTTTATGCAAGAGGATCAGAGGTCAAGAGAGTCTTCAAACTAGTGTTGTGGTTAAGAACAGATGGCAGTCTGTTCCCACAAACCATTGTCTGGCGCAAATTACAACATCACCTCCTCTGCGTTAGAGTTATTAACTGTACATTATTGTCTTGATGTACTACCAGATTATATAAATAACAGAAGAAAAGAGGAGCTAAGCAGCTATACTTCATTCAAATAACATTGTATAACTGGTAATACATGTACAATGACTCCTGCTAACCTGAACCAACAGTACACTGTAACTCAACTTTTGCACTACATATACATGTAAGTGAAACTAAAATTGTTTTCCCCTGTATACGATCTTACATGTACATTTACAGTAATTTAACCACTGATATTTCAAATCTCTTATCAGTAGCCCCCACCATTGTATTGTTCTGCTGTGATGCTTTGTTTCGCTTATTCCCTTCATATCTGTTATGATTTGCTATGCTGGTAAAACAATTTTGACAAAAGTCAACCTGCTTTCATCATTACATGTATTTTCATTGGCATCTCAATTTTACCCTAATGGTGCTTTTGTAATAAACCTGATAGAACTGCACAATGTTTTATTCCCTAGTTTCTAGTGATTTGTTTCCATCTCCCAGTGATGCAAACTCCCAATAGCTCCAACCTTTCAAGGTTTGAGTTATTGAAGGTCAGTGTTTACTGCAGTTAAAATATCTACCTCCTTGTTGGTGGTGAGGATAAGGAACACATCATCAGTAACTGTCGTCGTGGATGGATTTGGACCTGGCCCGTCATTCTTTGCATCTCCAAACTTTCTCCATAACTGAAATGATTGTTAATTTTAAGTGCAATTGAATCTATAACCTGTCGATTAGAGATGTTTATGCTGTAGTTTAAACTTGTCTTAGATTGGGAATTTTTCAAACTAGTTTGATAGGTATTTTCCTTTATGTGATACTCATTACCATTACCGTGAGACGAAAAAAATTGGAATCACAACATACATGCACGTGTTGTTATTAATTATTGACCTCAATTAATTTTGATTTCAACTACATTGTATTATGTAGTTTGTTTTCTTCTAGTTAGTTACTAAATAATAAGGAAAACAGCGTCAAAACCTTGTTGACGAGTTTAGTACTTGTCACTTGACAGGCCCTCACATTTCTTGATACCTTTTTAAAATTAATTCTCCAAGTGCCTCATCCAGTACGTCTACAAACTGTGTGCGTACCATGGATTTAGGCCAAATTGTTTCTTCAAACTTGGCCAAGAATTTATCACCGACAAGGCCTCAACATAGGAGAATTGAGAACAGAACTTGATGTAGTCCTGAAGTGAATCATGGCAACATTGAAGAATTCCTTGGTGCTGCTAATCAGAGTTACAGGTACAGGCATGGAAGCAGATATCAGTAGTCATAGAAAATTGTATGTAAAATATTATTATTATCTATGACATTCATAAGTATATTCATTCATAAATGTACTAGAGATAATTACATGTAATTTAAAAAAAGAGTTAAAGTACAGTGTACAATTACAAGAATATTCCTTTTACCTTTCTTTTTGCTATTGTCTTTGAAACCCGTTTTGTTTCAATTTTAAAGGTCCTCACAATCTATGTACATTAAAAAGAAAAATCCACAACAATTTACTCATAATCTCAAGTATAACTAACAAGTTAAAGAATCCATTTGTTGGTTGAAAATAATATGGTGTTTGTCTTTTGAATCCGTTTTCTAATGTCTTTAGTACCTGTACATACGTACATACGTACCATACGTAGTTAGCACAACAAGGGACTACAGGCGCATTAGTTTAGGGTCATCTAGATCAGGATCACTC